AGTTCCGAGTGGGTCGTCGAGTGCACCGTAGGAGTCTTTTAGTATATCGCGGTTAGTGCATCGTCGAGAGAGCACGTTGAGCTCCGGAACGACTGAACCGAAGAGTCGGGAGCTGTGCTCTGAGTGTCGTCGAGTGCATCGCGAGTTGTAGCGTGGAGAGATTCGAGAGTACGTGGAGTTTCGAAACGACCAAGCAGAGTCTGGAGCTGTACTCTAATGCTTTACCGTGAAGCTGTCTCCACCGTGATAGCCTGATAACCTAGAGGCTGTGTCGTTGATCATCGTGTTTACAGTAGTTCATCGACGACTGTAAAAACGTGTTTTGGAGCTGTCCTGACAATACTGGCCAATAAAGTATGTTTCGATACTTCATCAAGTAGTATTGTCATTATTCACTCCAAATCCTCACGAACCCCGTACGAACGTGAAGGAAGAAAATAACGTAACACCTGGTGTCAGAAAAGAAAAACGCAACAACTGGTGTCAGAAGAAAAACGTAACAATATTATAAGTAAAAAATTTGATGTGTACACCACATGACTTCCTTGTACGGAATATTAAATTATACGCATTTTATTTAAACTTATTGGATAGAATTAAATCTACTTCGCCGACAGCGCATAAACCACAATAGAATAAATGCATTCTTTAAAATTCACTCTAGGTTTACCATAGCGACACTCCGGCGCTAGATTCACTTAAGAGTATTATATTTCGTTCATATTATAACTCATAATGCACAAAATTTATATCATTTAAAGAATAGAATTATCTAATCGTTGCCTCATGTTCTACTCAAATACTATAATAAAGCTAGAACGATGTATAAAAGAAATTAATCAACAAAACAAAAAAGAAACAGTTTTTCACAGCCGATTGAGTATTTCTCACTCAATTAATTCAGTTCTCCCTTCGCGAGAGGGCGAAAATACGTAAAAACTCAAAATACCTATATTAAAAATTACGAAGTAAATCTTAAACACTTATTTCCTCGAAAAAAATCCAGAAAAAATTAAGCATGATTTAATTGGCAATAATAAATGAAGGCGTTAGCTTTGTTCTTGCGAAGCTAAGTTTCTCTAGATTGGCAACAAATCCACTAGTCTGCTTTTTCAAACGTAAACAAGCAATGGCCGCCATCAAAAAAATTATTAGGCTTAGCGGCACTTAAACAACTTTAAAATTGATAATTGTAAAAATATTACATACAGATTTACTAAAAGCATAAAAACCTTAACGGGAAGATACGAACAACATAATTCAATCATTTTTAAAGCAAAAAATGTACAATTTACAAACATATAAAAATAAAGAAACTGAGATCACTGAGCCGGGTAACAGAGTGGATATATATATAAATATATTTATATACGTTTGGTGCGGCCGATTGCAACCAAAATACGAGGTGCACGTCTACATGTTATAGCAGTCCTATATACAAAATTTCAACGTTCTGAGGCTACTCGTTTTTGAGTTATGCGAGATACGTACTTACGTTCGTACAGACGCCACGAAAAATTCTCTTCAGAATTCATTTTAAAGCAGTTTTATAATTTTTTGGAGGAAACGAGTCTTCTATTCTGTCCTTACGTACAGATATCACGTAAAAACATCGTTAAATTGCATTCGATAGCGGTCAAAATGGATATTTTCGTTGAAATATGCTGCCTGAAACTTTTCGCGATTACAATACTTCCTTTTTACTTCGTACAAGGAAGTAAAAATGATACTTTAAGCTCAACAAAGACTAGAGCATGTAGAATAGTGCAATGCGAACTAAGAGCATAACAGAGGATAACTGACTTCAGTTACCCAGCATGAGACAAATATGCTGTGCTTGATGTAGGAATTCACATATCATCATCATTTTGGTTGGATAATTTCTCGAAAAGGAAAGTTTATTACGTTGGGGCAATGGCTCAAGGAAGAAACAAGGAATAATACAGATACTGTTCTAACGTTTTTCAGATAATCTTCATTATAGTTACAAAAATATTGTATCTAATAGTTTTGTGTTTTAAATGTTCTATTTCATAACTCTTATTCTTCACTATCTTCTCCATCGTAATTTCCAAAAGCCTTTTGTAGCACTGAAAGAAGCATTTTATCCCATTTCTCTCGAACACGAAGTTCAAGGAGAGTTGTAGGTCGAGGTTTGGATTAGCCATGTTAATAGACTGCAATAATAGTTTTTTTGTTTTTATTTAAAAAGAGAAGATAAATATTAGCATGTTTTGGCTCTGATTTGTACATACGTAAAGTATGGAAACATCAAAATACCTATTTGGTTTATGGAATACCGTATATATGTACAGGTATTTCTTATTATTATCAAAATAAATAAATTATTTAAATAAATAAATAAAAGAGAAAATTACTTATCCAGCCATTATTAGTTTACTTAACATGTATTTTTAATTCTTTTAATTACATATGCCTAAATATTTCTCATTTAAATATTCGATTTCGACATTTTGATGGCGACTCATTTTCTATATTGCAGATGTACCAATCAATCACAACTTTCAGATAATGTGAAAGTTGTGATTGATTGTGATCCAGAGTATAAATTTTATTTTGACACCATTTAATATTTTTTTTTATTTAGTGATATGTAATAGCAACCCTTATTTATCGTATGTGAATCAGTGCCAAAGTTCACTTCTGTATTGAGTCCATCACTTATCTGTACTCATTTTGTGATTATTCTGCGATTTATTTTACGATTAATTGAAGGACAGAAGTTTCAAAAGTGTTAAATAATTACAGTTAGTGATGCATGTTCCAAATAAAAATTTTAAACAGTACTGAACGCAAGTAATTGCTCTACAGTTGCGAATATCTTTCAAATATATCTTTCAGACACGTAAACATTTTTTATTTCAGGAAAGTATGCAATAAAATGGATTTTAAACAGCGATAAAAATATAGCTAATCCAAATATTTGATCAAGTAGGACTACATCATATCGAGATATTCTAAAACTCCTAATTACTGATTTGTTCGCTTTACTGTAAGCCAAATATGTATTTATAGCAATGGGTATATTTTACTGCTTTGATTGTCATATTTTGTTATAATGAAAATTATGCAATAGAATAGAACGTTTTTATTCTAGGAAATAAGACAGACTTTTGTGCACAAAACTGAAGAACGAAATTATTTCTTTTATTATTTAAAATAATACATGTTATTTTAATATGTATTAATAAATACAAAAAAAATCTACTCAAAAGGAAAAGGTCTGAAAGCCTTCAGATTTTTACATTACGCTCAAAGAGGCGTTTTTTTAACGTTTTGTGTGTTACCTATCATATTCTTCGCAATTAAACCATAAAATTCAGTTCAATAGGAATACCACAAAATAATTTTAAAATGAGCATATCTTTACAATTTCCGATACACAGTCTCGCTGGGGATAATTTTCTCCCCCCAGTACAGTTTTGCCATTGATCGCTCTGAAATCGTTGAATTTGTTAAATAAAAATTCGTTAAAGTTTTATAAAATATGATATCGATAATAAAACAAATTCCAAATTTGGGCTTCCAGATGCCCATATTCGAGTGGAAACGTACGTTATTCAAAATTTGATGGTTCTAGGTGCCGTTGTTTTATCCCAGTGCGAGAAACATTAGATACATTTATGCAGATTCTTCATTATTTAATTTCTTTAAATATAATACAGGGCTCTAATATTTGGTGGCAACATTTTGAAACGTGAACGACATTTATAGTGAACCAACGCAAAATGCAAAAATGAAATTAACTGCCGTTATGGGCTAACGCCCTTCGAACTAATAATAATAATAATAATAATAATAATAATAACTTCTAAATAAATAAAAAAAATTAGTTTTATTTGGCGAGACGAAAAAGCAGTCTGGATCAATAGTTTCCGAGTTATGGAATTTGGAAAACCGAATGTTTATGTTATTATAATAAAGATGATTTCTAAATGATTTTCATTAATCAACACATTGTTAATATAGTAAAATATGATACAGTTTTTTAGTAGATCGTTTGCTACATTCTGAAACGGTCAGACTTTTATTTATTATTGAAAAATTCCAATTTCGTTTCTATCTAGTTAAGGGGAAAATATAATTTCTATACCGAAAAAAAAAATTATACAGTAGTTTATAAGATGTTCTTAGTTTAACCCAAATCAAACTCACACATTTTCTTTCACTAATGTATTCATTTATGCCAAGGGTTCCTAAATATTATATCGGAATAATTATTTAGTAATTATCAAAGAATTATTTTAAATTTTGAATTCATCTGTTTTTAATTTATGTGATTTTTCACATAAAATTTATGAAAATCACAATCAGAATTGTTAAGAACTAGCAATAGGAACTGAAGTTTGAAAAAGCGTTTATTTACGAAAGTGATTAATGATATTCTAAAGGAAGTTACTTTAACAATGCAATAAAAATATGCGAATTGTTACATATAATTTAGAAATCAAATAACTGAAATATAACTTATTAATTCATTTATTTATTGTATAATCCATTTAGGAACATTAGCAGACGATGTGTAACAAATTTCAAAAACTTTCATTAATAAAAATGTACGGATTTATTACAAAATTATTCATTCATAGTTTACGAAACATGAAACAAATAATTTCATTTTTAAAACTATTTATTTCATATAAATAAAATGTAGGCTATAAAACATTTATTTTTAGTAATTGTGTGCAATTTGCAACAAAAGTGGACGAATAAAAATGCAGATTTCTTTATTTATGGCTTCAGACATAGATGTAAATATAAACAAAAATAAATGTATTTACTACACCTCAGATTAATTAAATAAGAAAACGAATTTATTCTATTGTATTGCATAATCGACACGCCCATTTAACATGTATCCGTAATTACCAACCCTCTACCTTTTTGCCCCTTCTTTTTATGTAGGTCAATTCTATTTCTAAATATACTCCACATACCCTGACAAACAAAAATATGAATAAAAATTACATAAAAACTACCTGTACTTCAAAACCTTGCGTTACCTATGCAACATTGTGTGTTTAATTTGAGCGAACAACTCACGTTCTTCCCTATTATCATTATTTACATAACATCACTCGCACAGTAAATTTGACAGACCACAGGTTTACCGTGGGAAAACGGAAGCCAATTCGTCGCCAAATTCTTTCGCCAAAGATTTGAAATAAATATGTACAGTTCAGGTATTGATTGATACACACCACACTAGGATCAAAAATAATTTTCATAAGACACGCTGACATTCGCTACATTGTGATAACAAAATTTTGTTTAGATGTGATATATAAATGGTAAATAAACAGAAAATTAACCTAATTTTTTTTCTAAGCCGATATAATTTATAACAAAATTGCATCGGCTTTACACATTCATTAAAATTTACTCCGAATAACTAGTTTCAGTGGAACCACTACCTCATTTTATTTCAACAAGGAACAAATTACAAAATACATTTTTTTAACAAAATTAGAAATAAAAGTATTTCTTATTTGCCTAAACGTCTTTTTCATTTCTGTTTGAACTGATATTATGTCATAACTAACCTTTAAACTGTTTTAAAAAAGGAGCATATGTTGAATCGAATATTATGATTTTCGGTATAAACATCCAACAAACACTTTAGCTTAAATTCTAAATTTAACAGCTTTGTAAGGGGTCAGGTACTTTGAAAATGTCAAAATATGCCAAAAATATAACACATTTTAAAGCACAATGTCATTATTAATTAGCTGGTTTACGATCAGGAAATTTTATATACTTATTTCGATTGCCACTTTTACATTATGTTCCAGTTATAAAAATAAACTATCTTATTTGTAGTCGACATAAAATTTGAATATGTACTGCGCGCAGCATTATGAGTAAATAAATCACTATTTTTAGTTTATTCCTTTTTCCAAATAAAGAAAAAATGATGTGGACACCCTACGACTTCCTTTTACGGCCAATTAAATTATGCAAATTTTTTGCTGCACTTTCTTTAAACTTATTTCCTGAATTATTCTAACTTAATTAAACGATCCCTCAAGGCAATTTGAAACTGACATAAAAAATTGCACATTTTTCGGAATTAAATCGCCCATTCAATTTTTGTCGTAACGAGTATAAAACTTTCCAATATATAAGCATACGAAACTGGAGATCGTATTAAAAGTCAGATTTCGTTAGCTGCCCACCTTTTAGTCCAAAGGGGCAATGCCCAGAAGGACTATTAATTTCGCTTTGACATTTTGTGTTGATTAACCTTTCAAATTGTCGCCACCAAATATTAGAGCCTTGTATTATATTTAAAGAAATTAAATACAGAACAACTCCAAATATCCGAACTCAGACTATCCGAATAGCTGATTATACGAATCGCTTTCAGAATTTCAGAATTTTGCAGAATCAACTGAAGAAGAGAAGGAAAAGAAAAAAGAAGCTCAAGAAAAGGAAAGGGAAGAGACAGGAGAAAATGAGGATGACGCGTCACTTGAGGAATTAAGAAACATTCTTTTGAAAATTCCTGGATGTTTGGAAGTTAGTAGTGAGGATACAGCAGAATGGATGGTGTGTGATTCGTCAGACCCTGGGTTTCAAATTGTAAATGATGATGAACTTATTAAAAGTGTGAGAGAAGATGACTTTAATGTCGAAGTTGAAGCAGACACGGGACCATCACCTAGTAAAGCGTCTGCCGGTCTTGAAACTGCTTTGAAATGGATGGAGCGTCAGCCCGAGTATGACCACATGCAGCTTCTCATTGTCAAGCGGAAGCGCGACTTGGCTGCCCGAAAACGGATGAATATAGTCAAACAGTTGACTCTGACCGAGATGTTCAGCAAGCAATGACTTTCAACAGTTGTAAACACAGTACAGTAAGCTACATAACATGCACTTTTACGTCTGTTATATAGCATGCTGTTATATAGCAGTGCCATCAATCTGTGAGACTCTATCAGGACAAAGCATCATCAGGACAGCATCACACATCAAAATCCACTGTAAATTTCCTAAACGAAATGGGACAAAAACTGGTATCAAGGCCATACCCTTCACTGATATCCCTACTAAATCTCCCGATGTGTCACCTATGGATTTTTGTGCTTTCGGACTTTTAAAAACTGCATTATCTAAACGTTGTCTCAAACCCTAACAGGACTCAGAAAAGCTGTTCGGAAGAAATGGGATAGAATACCTCTTCTGCCACTTCAAAAGGCATTATTATCCTGGAAATTGCGGTGTCAAAAGATAGTTCAGAATAAGGGATGTCAAATAGAACATTTAAAACACAAGAATTTTGTGTAATTTAGTTTTGTGAATACAATAACATCGTCTAAAAAATGTGTGAACAGCCTCTGTACTTCTAGTTACATAAGTGTTTTAAATGACGAAACTATTCATGTTTTTGGCAATGCCAAATTTTTTAAAAACATTTAATTTTTGACAAATAACGAAAACTAACTTTTCATGCGGTCTCCCGTTCCCTATACTTATATTTGGTTATATATAAGTTTTGTACTCGTTATGATAAAGTAAAATTAGAAATAACTTCCGCAAGAGGAAAATTGACCGGGATATTTAATTGCAAAATTTTCAATTTTTGATGTCAGTTTTCAACTTGCCTTGAGACATCAGTTAATTAAGCTAGAATAATTCGAGGAAATAAGTTTAAATGAAGTACAGCAAAAAATGTGTATAATTTAATAGGCCGTACAAGGAAGTCATGCGGTGGCCACATCAAATTCTTTTAAAATAGGCGGTTGATCACTTTAGAAAAGTATATTATTAGAAAATGTTTATTACGGCAGATTTCGCTTTTATTGTTTTTTTTTCTTCTGTCAATGTTATAGATTAGAAATATATCTGTAGAAATTTTTAAAACTGCTGGAGAATTTGTAATTTTATGGAGCTTAAAAATACACCAATCTATCTGGCGTATTTTTTTCTATGTTCTTCAAAGGTCTGAGCAGTCAGTAGTGTATTGCCTATTTTGTTCGATAACTTTGTTTTTTCTTTTAATAAACTTCATAATTCTTCACTTACTAAAGAATCCAGTTTTATCAGCGAAAATCTAAACAAGATGCTGATTTACGGACCCATCTGAATTGAATGTAATACTACGAAAGAAATTTTAAAGAGAGCGAAGCAAGGGCACAGGACCAGGGGAGTATGATAATCCTGGCAACACTTTTCACCCAAACTCCAATTAATTTTTGTCAGGTGGTCAAACTTGTGTATGGTCTCGCGTTATCGGGATGGAATGCAGTTCCTGCACGATTAATGAGCTGTAGAAGTTTCTGGAAAATGCATTCGTTGAAACTGTCCAGTTCGTGACACCACATATTTGAATCGATTTGTTAGCTCTTTGGTAGGAGCTTGGAAACAAGACCACACACAAGTTTGATCACTTGAAAAAATTATTGGAGTTTGGATGAAAAGTGTTGCCACGCGTATCATACTCGCGAGATCCTGTGCCCTCAGATTTTCACTTGTTTCGCTCTCTTCAAAATTTCTTTCGTAGTATATCATTTAATTCGGATAAGTCCGTAAATTAGCACCTTGTTCAGATTTTCAGTGATAAAGCTAGTTTCTTTTGTAAATCAGGAATTACGTAGCTCATTAAAAGAAAGCAAAATGTATCAAACAAAACAGGCACTAAAAGGACCTTTGAGGAACATAGAAAAAAGTGCGTCACGACTTTTCAGATAACGTAATACTACGTTTAAAAAAATAAGTTTGAGCCTCTAGTTCCATAAATTGGGCTCTTACTTTGTAGAGTCATTAGGTTAATTGCAAGCAGAAAAGATGAAAAATATGCAACCGCCTTCGCCGGGAATCGAACCACGGACCTCTGGAATACCGACCCAGCGTGCTACCGTTACACCACGAAGGCACGCTAGGGAAGTGGAAGAAATACCTTATAACTTAATCAAATTTTAAGTAATAATGTACTCTTTAACGCATATTATTTAAAATGTGACTGAAATTTAAATTTTATTGGTAAATTTTGATTTTATATAGTATATCTATAGCTTAAAATTAAGAGAGAAAAAAACATAAAATTAGGCAATCTTGAATTTGGCTTAGGCTTTAATTAAAACTCTGTCGATTTCTAAATGGATCACGCACAAATCTTTCTTTGTCACGAGCAGTCTCGCATCATTACATTTACTCAACACGTGATCTGGTAAATTGGAAATTTTGAAAGCTGCTTTCAATCTTGTGGCATCAAATCTTTACCTTTGGGAAAAATAAGAGACCATTGCTCAGCAATTCAATGAACTGAGCAAGTGCATATGTTTTTTATCTCGCTCAGTTTAGGGGCGTTTTTTTAACGTTTTGTGGGTTACCATTATTTATTAAATATCACTTTCTACATGGTCAAAGCATAAAATTCGGTTCAACATCAATATCGGGAAATAATGTTAAGATGAGCTTATATATTTAGAATTCCCGATAAAGAGTCTCGAGTGTTGGAGATAAAAAAGGTTTTTTTTCGTACAATGTTGCCATAGGTCCCTTTAAAATCGTTATTTTTTTTAATCAAAAAGTGGCTGAAATGTTACAAAATATTAAATAGATCATAAAACAAATTTTAAATTCAAATTTGGTTTTCCACATACCCATATTCTTACGATGATTACGTCATTCAAAATTAGATGGCTCTAGGTACCGTTGTTTTATCACAATGCGAGAAATATACATACATTTATGTAGATTTTTCATGATTTAATTTCTTCAAATATAATGGAAGACTCTAACATTTGGTGGCGACAGTCTGAAAAGTGATTCGCCGTTTATAGTGATTCAACGCCAAATCGCAAAACGAAAACAATAGTTCCCTTTGAACTAAAAAACACCGCCCCTTTGGACGTAATTTAAAATCTGAAACCCTTCAGATTTTTTTTTATAATTGCTGTAAATTATAATACAAATAATAGGTAAATTTAAAAAAACTTTATATTATGAGTGTGGAAGTTTCTAATGCCAGGTATTGTATACCTCGGTCTACTGAATAATAATTTGCTGATCAGTGCTCTTTCTAAACTGCAAGCGTTTGCAGCCAGCCGCGCACTAATTTCTGAAACTGCATAGGTACTTTTACTTCTGCGTACACAATAGGCTGC